TAGTCTAGTCTATAGTCTAGTCTATAGTCTAGTTTCATATTTCTCAATGTTAACTCTGTTTGTTTGTTGTTGTTCACAATTCATCTATTTTGACTTGAAACTGTTGGCTTTTTGTCATTCCTCTCGTTTCGTTTTTTTTTTGCATACGAACATGTCACAGTACATTTGTATCAACCTCTTGTAAGTAGCAAAAATATTCCAGGAAATACGTGTTTGTTAAGATATACATATTATTATCACGTATCATTTCATCTTTGTTACACATATAAATATCATACATCTATTTATTTTTATACATCTAGTTTTTACTTATTTACATGTAAATATAGTACAACCTACAACTTACGAAACAAATATTTAATATTAAAAAAAAATTGGCAAACGCACTTGTTTGCTAAAAGAAAAAGGAAACTAAAAATTCGGTTATATTTAAAATTTTTTAACATCCTGTTGGTAAAGTTCAATAACTTTTAAATGAAAAAGTAATATCCATCTATATACATATATATCTTATGAAAATAAGAGTTTTTTGCCATCTTTGGGGAATATACATACCTATAATTGCACTTTATACATATCTGCACTTATGCACATAAACATACATACATATTAATATCATTACATCAAATAGTAATATGGGAAAGTATTGAATAATTAAATCATTACATACTCCTGTACGATAAGATAAAAAGTCATTAAACTTTTCATTATCAATGTAGGTTAACTTGCCAATTGCAGGGGTTACTTCAATCAATAGTCAGTTAATTATTTGTATTAAATTTAGTACCTGCAGTCGGCATTCAATGGGTTTTTATTTATAAAAGCAATACTACTTGACATGATTATGATAAGCTGCAAAAAAAAATGTTTTCAAATATAAATGAAACAAATTTTTCGTGTTATAAAATGGAGTAATTTAATGTTGTAATAACTTTAATATTAGGAACTTAAAGTAAATAGTAACGTGTAGTTTATAGTCAAGTCTATAACCTAGTCTATAGTCTAGTATATAGTCTAGTCTATAGTCTAGTCTATAGTCTAGTATATAGTCTAGTCTCATAGTCTAGTCTATAGTCTAGTCTATAGTCTAGTATATAGTCTAGTCTATAGTCTAGTCTATAGTCTAGTCTATAGTCCTAGTATATAGTCTAGTCTATAGTCTAGTCTATAGACTAGACTATAGTCTAGTATATAGTCTAGTCTATAGTCTAGTCTATAGACTAGACTATCGTCTAGTCTATAGTCTAGTCTATAGTCTAGTCTATAGTCTAGTCTATAGTCTAGTCTATAGTCTAGTCTATAGTCTAGTCTATAGTTTAGTCTATAGTCTATTCTATAGTCTAGTCTATAGTCTAGTCTATAGTCTAGTCTATAGTCTAGTCTATAGTGTAGTTATAGTCTAGTTCATAGTCTAGTCTATAGTCTAGTCTATAGCCTATAGTCTATAGTCTAGTATATATTATAGTTTATAGTCTAGTCTATAGCCTAGTCTATAGTCTAGTCTATAGTCTAGTCTATAGTCTAGTTCATAGTCTAGTCTATAGTCTAGTCTATAGCCTAGTCTATAGTCTAGTCTATAGCCTAGTCTATAGTCTAGTCTATAGTCTAGTCTATAGTCTAGTCTATAGTCTAGTCTATAGTCTAGTCTATAGTCTAGTCTATAGTCTAGTCTATAGTCTAGTCTATAGTCTAGTCTATAGTCTAGTCTATAGTCTAGTCTAGTCTATAGTCTAGTCTATAGTCTAGTCTATAGTCTAGTCTATAGTCTAGTCTATAGTCTAGTCTATAGTCTAGTCTATAGTCTAGTCTATAGTCTAGTATATAGTCTAGTCTATAGTCTAGTCTATAGTCTAGTCTATAGTCTAGTCTATAGTCTAGTCTATAGTCTAGTCTATAGTCTAGTCTATAGTCTAGTCTATAGTCTAGTCTATAGTCAAGTCTATAGTCTAGTCTATAGTCTAGTCTATAGTCTAGTCTATAGTCTATTCTATAGTCTAGTCTATAGTCTAGTAAATAGTCTAGTCTATAGTCTAGTCTATAGTCTAGTATATATTATAGTTTATAGTCTAGTCTATAGCCTAGTCTATAGTCTAGTCTATAGTCTAGTCTATAGTCTAGTCTATAGTCTAGTCTATAGTCTAGTCTATAGTCTAGTCTATAGTCTAGTCTATAGTCTAGTCTATAGTCTAGTCTATAGTCTAGTCTATAGTCTAGTCTATAGTCTAGTCATAGTCTAGTCTATAGTCTAGTCTATAGTCTAGTCTATAGTCTAGTCTAGTCTATAGTCTAGTCTATAGTCTAGTTCATAGTCTAGTCTATAGTCTTGTCTATAGCCTAGTCTATCTAGTCTAAAGTCTAGTCTATAGTCTAGTCTATAGTCTAGTCTATAGTCTAGTCTATAGTCTAGTCTATAGTCTAGTCTATAGTCTAGTCTATAGTCTAGTCTATAGTCTAGTCTATAGTCTAGTATATAGTCTAGTCTATAGTCTAGTCTATAGTCTAGTCTATAGTCTAGTCTATAGTCTAGTCTATAGTCTAGTCTATAGTCTAGTCTATAGTCTAGTCTATAGTCTAGTCTATAGTCTGTCTATAGTCTAGTCTATAGTCTAGTCTATAGTCTAGTCTATAGTCTAGTCTATAGTCTAGTCTATAGTCTAGTCTATAGTCTAGTCTATAGTCTAGTCTATAGTCTAGTCTATGTCTAGTCTATAGTCTAGTCTATAGTCTAGTCTATAGTCTAGTCTATAGTCTAGTCTATAGTCTAGTCTATAGTCTAGTCTATAGTCTAGTCTATAGTCTAGTCTATAGTCTAGTCTATAGTAGTCTATAGTCTAGTCTATAGTCTAGTCTATAGTCTAGTCTATAGTCTAGTCTATAGTCTAGTCTATAGTCTAGTCTATAGTCTAGTCTATAGTCTAGTCTATAGTCTAGTCTATAGTCTAGTCTATAGTCTATATCTAGTCTATAGTCTAGTCTATAGTCTAGTCTATAGTCTAGTCTATAGTCTAGTCTATAGGCTAGTCTATAGTCTATAGTCTAGTCTATAGTCTAGTCTACAGTCTAGTCTATAGTCTAGTCTATAGTCTAGTCTATAGTCTAGTCTATAGTCTAGTCTATAGTCTAGTCTATCTCTAGTCTATAGTCTAGTCTATAGTCTAGTCTATAGTCTAGTCTATAGTCTAGTCTATAGTCTAGTCTATAGTATAGTCTATAGTCTAGTCTATAGTCTAGTCTATAGTCTAGTCTATAGTCTAGTCTATAGTCTAGTCTATAGTCTAGTCTATAGTCTAGTCTATAGTCTAGTCTATAGTCTAGTCTATAGTCTAGTCTATAGTCTAGTCTATAGTCTAGTCTATAGTCTAGTCTATAGTCTGTCTATAGTCTAGTCTATAGTCTAGTCTATAGTCTAGTCTATAGTCTAGTCTATAGTCTAGTCTATAGTCTAGTCTATAGTCTAGTCTATAGTCTAGTCTATAGTCTAGTCTATAGTCTAGTCTATAGTCTAGTCTATAGTTAGTCTATAGTCTAGTCTATAGTCTAGTCTATAGTCTAGTCTATAGTCTAGTCTATAGTCTAGTCTATAGTCTAGTCTATAGTCTAGTCTATAGTCAAGTCTATAGTCTAGTCTATAGTCTAGTCTATAGTCTAGTCTATAGTCTAGTCTATAGTCTAGTCTATAGTCTAGTCTATAGTCTAGTCTATAGTCTAGTCTATAGTCTAGTCTATAGTCTAGTCTATAGTCTAGTCTATAGTCTAGTCTATAGTCTAGTCTATAGTCTAGTCTATAGTCGTCTATAGTCTAGTCTATAGTCTAGTCTATAGTCTAGTCTATAGTCTAGTCTATAGTCTAGTCTATAGTCTAGTCTATAGTCTAGTCTATAGTCTAGTCTATAGTCTAGTCTATAGTCTAGTCTATAGTCTAGTCTATAGTCTAGTCTATAGTCTAGTCTATAGTCTAGTCTATAGTCTAGTCTATCTAGTCTATAGTCTAGTCTATAGTCTAGTCTATAGTCTAGTCTATAGTCTAGTCTATAGTCTAGTCTATAGTCTAGTCTATAGTCTAGTCTATAGTCTAGTCTATAGTCTAGTCTATAGTCTAGTCTATAGTCTAGTCTATAGTCTAGTCTATAGTCTAGTCTATAGTCTAGTCTATAGTCTAGTCTATAGTCTAGTCTATAGTCTATAGTCTAGGCTATAGTCTAGTCTATAGTCTAGTGTATAGTCTAGTCTATAGTCTAGTCTACAGTCTAGTCTATAGTCTAGTCTATAGTCTAGTCTATAGTCTAGTCTATAGTCTAGTCTATAGTCTAGTCTATAGTCTAGTCTATAGTCTAGTCTATAGTCTAGTCTAAGTCTAGTCTATAGTCTAGTCTATAGGCTAGTCTATAGTCTAGTCTATAGGTCTAGTCTATAGTCTAGTCTATAGTCTAGTCTACAGTCTAGTCTATAGTCTAGTCTATAGTCTAGTCTATAGTCTAGTCTGTAGTCTAGTCTATAGTCTAGTCTATAGTCTAGTCTATAGTCTAGTCTATAGTCTAGTCTATAGTCTAGTCTATAGTATAGTCTATAATCTAGTCTATAGTCTAGTCTATAGTCTAGTCTATAGTTTAGTCTACAGTCTAGTCTATAGTTTAGTCTACAGTCTAGTTTTTTTAAAAATTTCACTATGCGTATTTTGGTGTTGATTCTCTTTTTTTCCATATTAAGATTCCATTATCTTTGTATCCGGTAAAAAAATGTTTATTTTTTTAATAATCTTCAGCTGTTTTTTAGTAAAATATATCTTTTACGGAAAATAACAGATGAGTAATTATTTTATTTCACATTGTACTTGTACACTTTTCGTTATGGATATTAATAATAAAATTATTAATAATTTATACAATTCACAGCTTACTTTTAACTTTAAAATATAATAAAATTGATAAGAAATAAATCTTGTGGTTTGTATATTGAAAGTAACAAGCAGTGATTACTCTAGATGTCTCGCTGTAAATGTTGATAAAAAAATCCAATGACAAACATTGAAAGAAATAATTTTATTAAAAATATTGCATTTTAAAATAAAGCTTTATATTTAAAGTTTCTTATTAAAAAATATTTAGTTACATTTAAGAGCTCAAGGCAAGTAGTTATTTAGTTTTTTATTTAATTGAAAAAAAAAAATGTTCGGAAAATTTATAATTTTTACGCTTTTCATGGCATTTATGGCCTGGCAAATGGGTGAGTGTGTGTTGTTACAGTTTTTTTTTTAATTAAAATTTCTAATAAATAAACTATTTTGCTTTTTAGTACAAGCGAAAGATACTACTCTAATACCCCCGCGTTCTGGTGACAAACATTTAAAAAATACTACTGTTTGTCACACCTGTTATGATGTCAACCAATGTAAATCTCCCCAAACTTTGATTTGTGATCAAAAGTCAGCTAATATTACAAATCAAGCGCTGGCCATGTACTTCTCCAATGTGATTAATATTACCGGTCAAGAATTTGAATGTTTAAAAACTACATATTCATACAGTAAGTCGTTTTTTTGTAGATTGATCGATTTTTTAATAATTTGTTTTTCCTGAATTCTAGAAAATTCCACTGTTATTGACATAAGAGGCTGCATTAATGTTGGTGTTAATGCCTGTGGTTTGATTGCCAAAAATACTACCTTGAAAAAGGATAATTGTAAAACTTGCAAAAAGGATTTATGCAATCCAGCTGGCACTTTCTCTTCCAGCACTTTTGCTATGATGTTGTCTTCCATCTTTGTTTTCGTTTCATTGAAGTATTTGCATTTTTAAGTTAAACAATTAATAAAGATTTTTGGACAAAATTTGTAGCAGAGTTTTCGTGTAAATGTTAAAATGTTGTTGTTTAATGCAGTGGTAATTAGTTTCCTTTTTGGAAATTTTGTGTGATGTACTGAAGATAACATTGTTCCTTCCATTTAAGGCAAATTTATCAATTAATTTTGAGTTGCTGCTGGTGTATGTGTGATAGAAATGAAGTTTGCTGATGTGTTTTGATCTTGACCATTTAATTAAAATAGAGTTTTGAAGTTTTCTTTAAAGTTGATGATACACTGGAAGAAAGGAAGGATAACGTTATACTTTTTGACAGGCAGAAAGACGGATAGATAGCTAGATAGATAGATAGACAGACAGACAGACAGACAGACAGACAGACAGACAGACAGACAGACAGACAGAAAGACAGACAGACAGACAGACAGACAGACAGACAGACGGACGGACAGACAGACAGACAGACAGACAGACAGACAGACAGACAGACAGACAGACAGACAGACAGGCAGACTACTAAAACTAAACTCTCTTATAGAAAACTCTCTTATACTAAAACTCTCTTATAGAAAATTCTCTAGAAAAGATTTTTTTATGGAAACTATGAGACTAAGATGATGCTCTACTAAAGAAACTGTATGGAGAGCACATTTTTCTATAGAAATATATCTAAAGAAGACACTGTACTATAGATAACAGACATTAGAATACAATATTCCCAATAGAATCAGTCTAAAGAGGAAACTCTTCCATAGTAAACTGTCTAGAAAAGACACTATCCTATACAAACTGTCTAGAGAGGATGCTCTTCTAAAGAAAACTGAATAGAGAACTGTCTTTTAATCTTTTATAGAATACTGAGAAAAGAAGAAGGTAGTATTCGAAAGAAGGAGAAGAAAAAGTATATACTACTCTTTCAGAGATAAACAAACAGACAGATGGACATAGTCTAATCGATTCTTTTATCTTTAATGATCCAGAATATATATACTTTATAGGGTCGGAAAATTATGTCATCCTTTTTACAAAGTTAAAGGATATAAAACCTCAATCTATCATCCAATCATACTAAGTGTTAGTAAATGTTTAAAAACACACTTTTGCACTTTTAAACTTTGTTTTTCCAGAGATTTTTATTAACTGCTGTTTTTATTTCCCATTATAAAGTGTCTGCCTCTGTTTAAGTAAACAATTGGCCTCATCATAAATTCAATTATCCTGAACTGTACTAACACACACCTCTTTCAAAGATTCACCTAGGAAAAGGTAACTTGCATGTTTCCCCTATAACCTTTTTCCCAACAAATTTCATTCCCCAAAAATTTAACCAAACTTACTGACAAACAATATTTCTAGGGATTTAGGTGAATGTGTGTGTGTGTGTTCATGTCCTTGTACGTGTTGTTTTAGCTAAAATTGATGCATTTGCTGCATTCATTAGCCATTTATCATTTTTTTTTTGGTTAAATCTATGTTTGCTACTATTATTTTGGTATTTGAAAGATACACAGGGAGAAATTAGAGATTTTTCAATTTGGTTTCAATAATTGTAATGTATAAAGAAGACTCTCCAACCAAGACGCTCTTCAATAGAAAACTATATTCGAAAAAAGTGTCCTCTTTTGAAAAATTTTGTAGACAGCTAAAAGAAGACAGTTTCCTATAGAAAATTGTCTAGAAAAGATACGTTCTATACGCAACTGTTTACAGAATACAATTTCATATAGAAACCTTACTAAAGACATTCTTCTATAGAAACTGTCAAAAAAGACCTTCTGTAGAAACTATTAAGAGTGGAGACTGTTCTATAGAAAACTGTTTGAAGAAGATACTATTCTAAAGTAAACTGTCTTCTGGAGACATTTTAATATCGGAAATTTTCTGGACAAGACAGCTGTCTAGAGAAAACTGTCTAGTAAGTACAATCTTCTATAGAGAACTGTCTAAAGAAGATATCCTTAAAAAAAAACTGTCTAGAAAGGACACTCATCTAGAGAAATTGTTTAATGAAGGTGCTCTTCTACTGAAAACTTTTTAAGAAGACAATGTTCTATAGAAAACTGTCTCTCTTATGCGGAAAACTGTCGAAACATGAAACATTTCTATATATAGTGTATAGAGAGGATGTTCTTCTAAAGGAAATTTTAATCGTTTATAGAAAACCGACTAAAGAAGAAAGAAGTCACAGCTGTCTAGAGAAAACTGTCTAGAAAGTACAATCTTCTATAGAGAACTGTCTAAAGAAGATATCCTTTTAAAAAAAACTGTCTAGAAAGGACACTCATCTAGAGAAATTGTTTAATGAAGGTGCTCTTCTACAGAAAACTTTTAAGAAGACAATGTTCTATAGAAAACTGTCTCTCTTATGCAGAAAACTGTCGAAACATAAAACATTTCTATAGATAGTGTATAGAGAGGATATTCTTCTAAAGGAAATATCTAGAGAACACACTTCTCTATAGAAATATATCTCAAGAAGATACTCTTTTATAGATACTGCCTCTCTATACTCTTTTATAGACACATGTCTTTTAATCGTTTATAGAAAACCGACTAAAGAAGAAAGAAGTCACCATTCTATGGAACACTTGAAAAGTCACATCTGTATAGAAAACAGTTTAGCAAAGACACTTTTCTATCGAAAACTGCTTAGCAAAGACACTTTTTTATAACATAAATCAAATAATTCTCAATAAATTTCGTTTTAAATTAAACTTAATTTTCTTTTTTAAAAACCCATAAATTGTCAATGGCCTCTTATTTGTCTATTTCTCATTATAACATTACAAATTTATCATTTAATCACAGTTTGAAGTAAGAATATTGGGTATTACTTTTAGCAGCTGATGTAAAAAGAAATTATTACAACAGCATGCCGTGACAGGACACTTCTTGCCATTGCCGGCAAAACTGTCAAATTTGTCAAAAGTGATAATTTTTTTGTGGTATTAGTAAACTCTAGAAAATCAAGTAAATTATATGCAAAATTTATTACATTTTGTAATATAAATGAACTCCAAAAATAGGGTTGGTAGTAATAATTTAAAGTTTTCAGTTGGAAAATTATAAAATAGCCTGGAAAAATATTTGACACATGTTATGGTATTTTAATGCAATTGAATTTATTTTTGGACAAAGTACTCAATGGTTTTGGTGGTTTAAAGTTTTGTTAAATTTTCATTTTCATTTATTATACAGCCTCTGAGGTATGTTTTTAGGGTTTTGCAAGTGCAGTGCACTGCACTGCATATATTGCTGTATATGTATGTGTGTATATGCATATTTATAGCCTTATACTCGTGACTATATCATGAGCCATCATAATAATATTTGACAGCTGTTGTTTACCGCATCGTAGACTTTTGTTACTGTTAAACTGTACAATTGTTTTGTGGGCTTGAGCTCGGGTGTTTTGGTGTACAGTTGAGGAGTATTAGTGGAGTTGTATTGTCATTATAACTATGGTATTTTATTATATCCTGTTTATTTGGTTGTACTATATACATATATTCAGTTAAGTTTTAATTTACTAGGGCAGTATAAAAAGTTCTTTAAATCAGTTAGTTTAGTAGAGACATTTTCCTTAAGAAAATTGCTTAGCGAAGACAATTCTCTAGAGAAATGAAGACACTTTTCAACAGAAAACTGTTAAGAAAATAAATATTTCTATAGAAACAGCTTAGATAAAACACTTTACTTTGAAAATTGTCTAACAAAGATAAGATTCTTAGCTTGTTAAAAAAAAAACTGCTTAATCAAGACACTTTTCTATAGAAAACTGTCTAGTCAAGTTACTTATCTAAAGAAAACTATCTAGAGAAGACACTTTTCTGTCGAAAACTGTTTAGTCAAGACACTTTTCTATCGAAAATTGTTTAGTCAAAACAGTTTCTTATTAATAGAAAACTGTCTAACCAAGTTATCTACAAAAAACTGTTTAGTCGAGACACTTATCTTTAGAAAACTGTTTAGTCAAGACACTTACTAAAGAAAACTGTTTAGTGAAGACACATTTCTGTAGATAACTGTTTAGTGAAGACATTTTTCTATAGACAACTGTCTAGTCAAGAAACTTTTCTATAGAAATCTGTTTAGTAAAGACACTTTTCTTTAGAAAACTGTATAGACAAAACCCTAATCTATAGAAAATTGTCTAACAAAGTTATTTATAAAAAACTGTTTAGTAGAGATACTTATCTATAAAAAACTCTTTAGTCAAGACATTTTTCTATAGAAAACTGATTAGTGAAGACACTTTTCTAAAGAAAACTGTTTAGTGAAGACACTTTTCTGTAGAAAAACTGTTTAGTGAAGACACTTTTCTAGAATTGTCTAAGTTATCTATAAAAAACTGTTTAGTAGATACACTTATCTTCAGAAAATTAGTAAGTCAAGACATTTTTCTATAGAAAAATGTTTAGTGAAGACACTATTCTGTTTGACACTGTTTAGTGAAGTCTCTTTTATAAAGTTTTACATAGAAAACTGTTTAGTCGAGACACTTATCCCTCGCAAACTGCTTAGTCAAGACACTTTTGTACAGAAAACTCTATATTCAAGAAACTTTTCTATAGAAAACTAATTAGTGAAGTCATTTATCTATAGAAAACTATTTAGTTAAGACACTTTTCTACATAAAACTGATTAAAAATAGAATACTGTTTAGCCAAGACACTCTTTAGCAATGAAAGTATATGTAAAACATCTTAGCGAAGACACTCTATTGCTTCGATAGAATAACACTTTTCCATAGAAAAACATTTAGCAACTACACATTTCCATAGAAAACACTTTCCTAAAATACTTTTCTATAGAAACATTTTAGCAAATACACTTTTTCTTACAGCAAACTAATTAGCAAGGACATTTCATTATAGAAAATTCTTGACAAGAACATGAAATTTTGAAAATAGCTTAGCGAAGACACTTTTTAGCAATAAACTAAATTTGCCAACTTTTAACTATTTCCTTTAGAAATTTATTTTAGGCATTTTTTTTAAACCACTTCTCATCCTGCTACCGATTCCAA